GCAAAAAATGATTGTTCAATCACAGAGCCATATCCTCGGTAGTTTTTGGGAATCAAAGGTACATTACTACATTTACTAGTACAAGAATAATATTCCTATTGTGATGTTGAAAAGAAAATATTTGTATTGTTTCAGTGAAATGGTGAGGGAGTAGATATAAAAAGGAATTAAAGTAGCTCAATGAAAGCACAAGAAATTGTACAAATGTAATTGATTGCGAGTTTCTACTTTAATATTTGTATAGAACGTTGTATAATTGTAGCTCTATGGCATTCAGTTCACTGTAAGCCATATTTTTTTTTTAATAAACCTTTGTAAGCCATATCAAAAAGCAATCCTACTGACAAGAAATGTTGGCTTCTAAACCAACTTAATAGATCTCTCTAATACAAATTTGAAATTAGACTAATTCCATGTATGCTTTCGCTTTTAAGCATCTTTTTCGCACAAAATCTAAAGCATTTTTAAACAAAATATGTGCTTAGACTCAATATCAACAGGAAACTCCATAGGGAGATGATCTTGGGGGGTGCAACATCAATCTCAACTTTGGCAAAATCCACCTCTGTTCTATTTTGTGTAGCCTTGTCTAGAGCTAATTGGGTACGAATTGCATGAGCAATATAATTGACCCCTTGAGAAGAGAATAGCTCCATGAATACACCCTAAAGTTTTATTGAGAAGTAAAATTCCACATTGAAGATATAACCAAGAAACATGTGCTTTAAATACAAGAAGGCTCACTCTACTTATTATTAATTGATTTTAGGTTGGAAGTAAGTCTTGTATTTCAGATCACGTGTTAAATTTTTACATGATATTAGAGTAGGCTACATTCTTTCTCATAAAACTCAATGTAAACCTTTATGAGAGGACTTGCGGATAGGACGAGCCAATTGGTTTTAGTAAGCCTTGTATTTTTACTTACATGTCAAAAATTCACCTGCTTAACCTAGATGGGATTGTCATGTGGATCTTGAGGAATTTCTTTCAACTCTGGGTCCTACTTGCTCATATAGCTGTTCTTATGGCCAATATGACATGACCCAAAGTTTAACATCCATTTTCAAAATTCAGTGCATATTAAGTGGACTCAAAGTTTATAAAGGGCACAGTAAACCTGTTTGTTATCACGATGTTCACATGATAGGATTGGGACACTTCTCTAGATTAGAGGAAGGGTGGCTGGATATATGTTCTCCCCTTGGCATTGGATGCAAAATCCTGTGATGTGCTTGAAGTGAATT